CCCCAATGTCCTAAACTATCCCGAAATATCCCCGTAGGTGCGCGTCTTCCTGCTGTCCCTCAAGGCCGGCGCCGCGGGCCTGACGCTCACGGCCGCCTGCAGGGTGGTGCTGCTGGAGCCCGCCCTAGACCCGGCCGTAGAGCAGCAGGCCGTGGCACGGGTCCACCGCATCGGCCAGGTGCGCCTCACCACGCCTGCCGCCTGCTGCAGCCGATTATCTGCAGGAGGGGCGGGTGAATGTGTTTGCATGTCAGACGCGCCTTTTTGCAGGCGCGTCGGCGCGACCCTCACGCCGCTCGGCGGCCGTCCCGTGATCCGTCCTTACAACCGTTCCATTCCGCAACGCGTTCCATTTTGGTAATGCCATGCCAGACGCGGCCCGTGACGATCACGCGTCTCATCGTGGACGACAGCGTGGAGCAGCAGGTGGGGGGCTGCGTGTGTATGCGTGTGTGTGTGTGTGTGTGTGTGTGTGTGTGTGTGTGTGTGTGTGTGCGTGCGTATGTGCATGCACGCGTGCGTGCGCGCGTGCTGGGGGTTGGAGTGGAGAATTTGTGCACACGTCGAGTCTGCCTGCATGTGTGCTTGTGAGCCAACAAGCGTGTGCATCCAAGTGTCCATGTGTGTGTGCATGTGTGTGCATGCCTCTGTGTGTGCGCGTGCGCATGCGCTTGCGCGTGTGTGCATAAGCAGATGTTGTCACAGATTATCCAGCTCCACATCCTTGCGCATCCAACCATGTTTCGCAACACTTTGCCCACCACTGGTGCAAACATGAACCACCGTTGCTGGAGCCCCAAAAGAGGAACTCAACTTCATGTATCTGGCCAACGCCCACGACCCTGCAGGTCCGCACGCTTTGTGACACCAAGCAGAAGCTGCTGACCTCAGCAGAGCATCACAACCACCACCACCACCACCACAACGGCCCGGCCGCACCCAGCGCCCGGGCGCGTGCCGGCGCTGCCGGGCGGCGGCCGTCCGACGCTGGCGGCGGCGCGAGCAATCATGACCGGCGTGCCGGGGGCGGTGGCGGGCAGGAGGGGGGTGCGGATGAGGAGGGAGATGACATGGATGAGGAGCAGGAGGAGGAGAGCCGCGTTGGCGAGGGCACCGCGCTGCCCGGGGTGACGTCATCGGAGCGGGTGGAAGGCGGGGAGGTGGCCGGGCTTCTCGAGGCGGTGCTGGCAGGCAGGAGGGGCGGCGGCGGCGGCCAAGGCGGCGGCGGCGGCAGCACGGGGCGCTGACGTGGCAGCCGGTGGTGTCGTCGTTGCGGGGCAAGTTTGGTGTGTCTACTGCGCAATCGGGGGGCCGGGCAGGCTCGGCAGCGATACGCGGCTGGAGGTCAACTGACGGCAGAAACCCACGGATGGCTGGATTTGCGTGATCTGCCGTTTTAATTGTGTGCAGTCGTGATATTACAGGTCGAGGTCCCATCATGATATCGCATCAGCTATCATGACGACTGTTTGTATGACGCCCTGCCCACAAACACTCATCATTGGGGGTTGGACCGACCCAGGGTCCGTCGACCCTCCGACTCCCGGATTCTGCTGTTGTCTTTGGATGCTCTCACTGCTCATTGCAATGATCCTTTGACCGCCGGTTGCCCCCATTTCTCCTCAATATATTTTTTTTACTGTCCGCATTGCAACAGCCACCCCTGCGATGGGGCACTCTGCTTCAGGACGTCCCCAGGCAGAGGGTACGACTCTGTTTTGACAGCTCCTTCGTGACCGTCGCTCGCCCACTTTGGGGTTGAAACCCGCGGGCCCTTTGGCAGACAACTGTGAGGTTTGAGGATCACGCTGATCCTCTCTCTGTGAAATCTTGACAGGGCTTGAACAGCCTGCGGCCCCCTGGGACCAGCCGCCGCCCAGCTGTTGCTCCCCCCATGTGATCCATGTGGGCGCACCCCAAATTAGCTGCACCTGCTGCAACGACGAGGGCCCCTTGTGAACCTCACGACACAGGGATTTCGCATGCACACGCCTTGACGTGTGGGCGAGGGTGGCCGTGTGACTCAACGCCGATGCGGGCTTTGGGGTTGTTCCTGGTTGCAGCGTGCAGTGATTGAGCGCAGTGAAGCACACCGGCCCGCAAGGGGGCCTTGGCAGGCGAGCCATTCCCCTACCTGATTCCGCCACCATCACATAATTTATTTATTTGCAAACAAAATTTTGCTCTCGTGTCACACGTATCGTGCCACCGACACACCACGTGGCGACTCGGTCACCAACTTGCGATCACTGAACCACGTGGCGGGCCCTGGATCCTTGTAATCTGTATCAGTTATCAGCGACGGTAGCGCAGGACCAATGACATCAGCCCCAGAGCGCCTGAGCGCTGCGGGGCTGCTGGGGCGGGACACCCAGCACGAGCAGCGGCAGGATGCTGATGCTGCTGCGGCGGCGGCGCCGCCCAGGCCAGCGTCGGCCCCGACAATTCGCGACAGCGCGAGCGAGGTCCCCGCCCTGGCGCGCACTACACTTGGGAAGGCCTCCAACTCCCTGGCCAAGTCGTCCAGCAGGAGCGGAGCGCCCACGCTGCAGCAGCGGTCGACGACACTCAGCAGGGGCAGCTCTGCCGGCCATGCGGTCATGCACCGCAACGCATCGAACAAGGCACGCGTTATTCGCCGCGCGCACTGACCGTGCGCTCGCACGTGTGCCTGGGCTAGAAGCAGAGTCGGCCCCTCCTGCGCCCCTGCATGCTTGCAGCCGCTGTCGTATCGGCAGCGCGGGCGGCAGGGTTCATGCCCCGCCGGCCCCCCAGCGCGGCCGGCATGCGATACCTGCTATGATAGGCCAAGTTCACCCACCCATAACAATATAATGCTGTCTGAGACTGGAGGCCGCCCCGCACGCAAGGCGGCCGTTACAGTCGTCGATTCAGCTGCCCTGCGATTTGCTTATGTCACCCCTTGTCACCCGTACCGCAGTTGATGCAGCTGACGCAGTCGTATCGCACTCAGAAGCAGCTGGAGGAGCTGGAGGGGATCAAGATGCCCGCATGGATCATCCATCCCTATGACATCAGGTGACATCATCTTAGCGAAAGGGCTGCAATGCGAGTGGGCAGGAAAGTGACGTGTCGTACATGTGGTAGCGTGCGCATGCGCTTTGATGCATGCGGGGTGTGTAGGGTTGCTATCCGCATCAGACCGTCGTGGCTCATCCAGTCCATCGTGATGCGGCACTCGAGCTGCCAAGCAGCTGCGGCGGGGCTCAGCTTGGACCCTCCTGTAACCCGAACACACGTTCACGCACATACACACGAGTGCACATACACACACAAACGCACACAAACAAACACACACACACGCACACACACACACACACACTCTTACAATTTCCCCAAAAGGGCTCACATGTGGTGGGCGTTTATCCTGGTGACGGTGCTGGTGACGATGGTGGCTGACCCGTACTGCCTGGCGTTTGCGGAGTACCCCGGCCTCTAGTGAGTGACACAGGCGGCTGCAGTACAGCGGCGAGAGGGGTGCAACTCAGGGAATACGACTGGCATGCGCAGTGCACAGGCGCACGATGTGGGGCTAGGAGCCCGTGTGCGGCGGCACAACCTGCGCAGCAGCACGTACAGGGGGCGGCACCCTGAGCTGTGCTTGCGCGGCCCTGGCTCTCGGTCGCCTTGTGTGACACGTGCTCGCATCTGAGACCCTGGGGCGGCCTCGAGGACCGCAGAGCGTGCACCGTCCCGAGCACCGGGCGCCGGCCTGCGGGCTGCCGCGTCGAGGGTGGCGCTGCCGAGCGACGCGCTCGCCCATGCAGCCTGCACCAAC